GACGACAGTCAAATTTCTTACATTAACGAATGAATAGATAGTTCTAAAGCACGAGTTAAGCAATGCCACCAACAAGTGAGAATAAAGAGAAAGAGAGAGAGATTAGTCACTACTACCGTATTAAAGACAAATGTATGAGATGTTTTCACCGTATTTCGTTTGAGGTGATAAACCACAATAATATGATTTAACCTTACGTCACATATCTCATTTATATGATTCTACTAGTAGTCCAGAAAACCTACCTAAAATGAAGAAAACAAATAAATGCGATTATTCAAAGAAACCAGGTCTCAAAGACTCATTTAATTCATTAATGTTGTTGCACCTTTTAATTAGTGCTAAACGGTGTGAGATGGCTGCGAAGTTTGGCCTCACCGGCATCTGAATGAGGATTTCCTTGGAGTTGGGATTAGCAGAATGGAGTGAATAAGTCCTCTGAACATCTCCCCGCCATTCAAATGAATATATGTCATATGACAGATATCATTTGCAAACTATTTAAACAGAACACTAAGCCAAGAAAGGTGGCCGACTAGAAAGCTTTTTACCGATTAAACCTAATTTTACAGTCTTAATTAGGTATCGCAGTATTCAGTTGACTATTTTATAACATAGCATATGCTATATTATGATATGACTTTCCATCTCGAAGGAAAATTTGGCTGGAAAAATGCGTGAAATGGTCTCACCGGAAAACGAAGGAAGATTGTCACAACATGAAGAATGTTGGGTTTGGCGAACAATTCACTGATCATCGTCTTGCGACTCCGTAGCAGACATAGTCAGAGCAAAAATGAATACTTTAAAAAAATAGAGCAAACATGTACTAAATCTCATTTTACTCTACACGCCTCATTAGGATCACAAGGTTAGGCGTTTACAAAAGTGACTAAGGTTGCAGCTGGCTGCCTCTTCTTCTGTTTTAGTATGTTTTTGCTCTATTTCGTAAAGTATGCATTCTTTCTCTGATGATGTCTGCTACGAAGAAGACAAACGAAAACTTAACCCGGGTCCATCGGGGTCGCAGGATGATGATCGAAGGAGTTATTCTCACAATCCGACAGTCTTCCCTACGCGTCAATCC